AGGAATCTAAGAATACCATTAACAGTTTCACTTTCTGCTGGGGAGTTTAGTATTTGCCCAAGGAGCTCTGCAAAAGTTTACAAAATGAATATGAAAAATATTCAGCTTAGATTTTCCTGCTAAAAAAATGGACTTGTTGCTGGAACAGAGTTGCATGGCCATGACAGAGTAGTGCTAAAGCAGAAAAACATACTCTCTCTGAGGTTCAAATGCTTGTAAATATGAAGTCTCCTAAGATTTGGTCTGAAAAAGCATAAATCCAGATTTCAGCGAGTAGGTCATATCTATTTTACTGTAATTTTTCTTGATTGTTTCAATGCCTCAAGTTGCTGGTTAGGAGGCAGAAGAAGGGCAAGAGAAATTAACCTGAAAAGCTATTATGAGTGAACAGAATTCTTAAATGCTTCATAAAAGCTTCCAAAAGATAGCTGTAGCACTGGAGACTCCTAACTGCAGCAGTTATTTCAATTAAAGCATTGCCATGTTCTATATACAGAACATTTTTAAATTAAAACCAAAAATACGCTTTTATTTGAGCGAAGAGCTCTTGAGCTCTTGTCTTCCTGTTTTTAGTAATAAAGTTAGATAAGGAGGAAGATCAAAGATGCTCTTTTTTGCCCTGGTAATGCTGTACACTGACCCATCAGAAATGCAGGTTTGATATGTCTGAGAAGAACTGCTTGATCCTACTTCCTTATAGGGAGTTCTGCCAGGTTCTGGATGGGCATCATGAAATATCCAATGCATACGCTCCATCCCCTAGAAGTACGGAGTAGTCAAACTTAACAGTTAAAGGTTCTGGCTTAATGGAAGACTTAATGAGGTTTACGCTTGGGTTTCATTCCCCCTTTGGAAGTATTAAATGGTGGTTTTAATATTAGGTTGTAAAGATATTTTCTTTTACAACATTCGTTTTTTTCCGGAATTCAGAAGCGTTTATTTCCTGTATACAAATAGCCTCTCTTCTCCCTTTCTGAAATCAGTTAAAGCCTTTTCTTGTTTAAGACTAGTTGGCTTTTGAGGCCATCTCTCTGAGCAGAAGCGTAGTTCTTGGTATATATTTGCTATCATCCTACTGTCATCTCTTCAGTTATTTGATACCACAGGTAATCCAGTGTCTTTTTTCCCTTCTTATTGATATTTCTGACTCCTTTCCACAATAAATTCGGGCATAGTCACTTTCCTGCTTTTACCCTTATTTAGCAGCTTCTTGATGTTGCTCGCGTTCCAGCCTTAGCAGTTGTGAGACTCTTTGTCTGAAATGGGTATTTGGAAGGCACAATATCATAAGACTGTCTCAGATCTAACCTCTCAGAGGGGCTATTTGGTCACTGAGTCATGAGTAACCAGAAAGGTTGTTTCTCTTCTTGTGGAAAGAACAAGCTCTTGGCCATAAAACAGAACATGGTGGTCAGATGGCTTTTGCTGTACGCTTTTAGGATAGCGATCATAAAAGGTGATCACTTCAAGGTGATCAGCTCCCACTGAACTGTTTACACTGTTAAACTTCTAAGTTTTCTGAAGCCTGCCTTTAAGTGGATTTCTTCTTCAGGTAGCTAGGTCCCAAGGCTCCATATGTAGAATCCTGCATTGTATTCTACAGGTGACTCTTTGCGGGCTTATACTTTGTTTCAGCATCCACCAAGAACTTTATGCTGCTTTTGCAGAAAGTAATCCCCACCACCATTTTTTTTTTTATGCTTTTCCCTTTATGTCATCAGATGTAGCTTCTGTTTTGGAATCAAACTTAAATTGCATGAAAATTTGTGCTGTTGACAATTTGAAAATTCTTTTAGCAAGCTTAACCTGGTGGATGGTATCTTCTAGTGCAGCTAAACTTCAGGTATGGAAACTGGTGCTGAAGTATGGGTATGGCAAGCTGAGGTTTTTATGTGTGGGGGGGGGCGTTGCAGGTTGGTTTGGGTTTTTTCACCAAAAGCACTGTTAGAGAGGAGGGAGAACTTTAAAGAAAAAACTGGGTATTCTTGGTGACAAGTTCAGTTCTTCAGTTTCCTGTTTCTCAAATTGGAAAAGACTAACCTGGTGATTCAGGTGTTTTTTTAGAGTGGAGGAAAGTTCTGTTCCAGCTATTTAGGTTGGTGATAATTGGCTGGTTGTAAAGTGGAATGCAGAGATGGCATTTGGGAAGTTGAACAGCTACATTTGCTACTCAGATTAACAAGAATAGTGTCAACATTTACAATCTTCAGTTAGCGCTGTGATTTGGTAAATCAGCAAATATTCCAAGTGAATAGTTAGAGGGAGATCAGAACTATTTAAGAGGTAATGTACAAACTGAGTCTACCCTTCTGAGCTCATCCCAACAGCGTGACTTTTAGTGTAACTATTTTATACCTACTTCTTATACCTACTATGTGAGGACAACACATAATGGCAGAGTGCCCCTCTTCTAGATAGGATGGTTTCAAGATCCTTTTCCTATTTCTCCATATCCTAACTCACTAAATGCGTTTAGAATTAACTATTTTCCTCTAGTGTTCTTCCTTATATGAAGATTCCCTGTCACTCATCTCAACAATAGTAGAAATGTCATTGAAACGCTAATAATCTTTTTTTTAAACAGGAAAGACAATTATGCATCACTGAGAAAATGTCAAACTGTCCCATCTACTATGGAATTTCATTCTTCATACTGCCACCTTAAAACGCCTCACTCTTCTGCGGACCTTGAAACCTGGCTCTGGGAATCCTCACGCTTCATGCACTCAGCTATGAAAAATGCTTCTGCTAACATGCAGGAGCATTCAGACTTAAACTCCTATCCTAATTTTCTCCCAAATTCTGATGAGTCTGGGTTGGAAATAGATTTTGACTCTTCCTCAGAGACAAGTTTCCACACTGCTCCAGAGTATTAATTTGGAAGTAGATTCCAGAGTTTTCAAAATTCCAATTTGGCAGAGAACTTTAAATCCTAAAGGACTAAAGATCGCTTTGTTTATTGCCAATGGAAAATTATTTGTTTACAGCTTCCTGACAAATCTGCCTTGGAAATTCTACTGTTTTAAGGATTATAAAAACAGTGGCTGCTATACTAAGTAACAGACTACAATTCTGTCAAAGCACCAGCTCAGTCAACTGTAGTAAGACTTGTAGTAAACAGTGTCTCTCTGGAAATTTTTTAAAAAAAATCTACTTTCACCATAAAAATGTAAATTCTGTAAACAGCTTGTTAGACAAACAAGCATCGATAACAAAAGCTTTTTAAAAATGTAATTCTTAACAATATTATGTGTTAGGATGACTTTTATAGCACTTAAATGAAACTGGTCTTCATAAAGGGAAATACACAAACGAGCTTTTTAGTGGCCTCCAGTGTCCGCTTGCCTTATATTTAAACATACTGCTGTGTTTATGGAAAAGTGGTCTGCACGAGATACTGTAGGGACAGTATTATCCTAGATGTCT